ACGCTGCTTTTCTGATGTTCACTGAAGTTTTCCGTGTCTTTTTCCCATGTCACTTGAAATGTTTCCATTTGAATCATTGTTACCAAAGGCGAGACACGTGAGGAAAAAATAAACGATCAGTTGTGGGACTATATTCTGTCATAAATCGCATACCATTCATTGCTGAACTTTCTACCGTCCGTTACTGGAAATTAAATTAAATTACTGGTTGATATGTCCCGATCTCAATAAAGTTTACACACGCTTTTGGTCCGTGGATTAGATCTTGCTCGGGACGCGCGCTGTCTGTGGAGGTTTGGCCAGGACCGGTTCCAGAATTAAATCAACATATTTTATGTTCCGTCCATTGCCAATCACTGCTATTTCGAGAGTGAATCCTGCATAAATATGTGGATGTCATTCCCGAAACTTTGCAGGGCCTATGTGTCCGAAAAACGAAAGTTTTATACAAATTCTGAATGGATTATATCCTAGAAAGTGCGCAAAGCGCGCTCCCTTTATCACTAAAAGCGTCACTCATCTTCGCTCATCGCGATCTTACAAAGTTCTGTTATAATCAGTGAAGCTCTCTAAACTGCACAATGAATCTCTTATTTACATCGCGTCTGCACTTAGTCATGAGATGATTCACAAGCGTGCAAAACTGCACTTAAAAACTGCGGCGCTTTCAGCGGTGAGTGAATTCTGACAGAATGTTTCTGATTGGCCATTGCGTTCAAAAAATCAACAGATATCTGTGATTGGTTACATTGCTCAACGCTGCAAAAACACGTTTAGGGTATTTAGTGCTTGGCTAAGCGCTCCAATTGCAGCGGGGCCGACATCAGGGATTCCATGACTAACAATTTGGGGGAGCAATTGCCCCCGCCCTAATGTCGCCCATGTACGTATGTAAGCATATACATATGAAAAATAATGCGATCATCAACACTAACCGCAAATAAATGAAAACCGCCTAATGTTACAGAGTGAAATGTCAATCCAGAAAGTGGTAAAGGCCTGTGGAAGCTTTGGGAGTACTGATGGAAGTCTTCTACTGCATCTTTGCTTTGATAATATTACTGAATCCAGATGTAGTATTTGATAAAAATGCGATTTTCTCCACTTTTTGCTCAAAACTTTGCTTTTTTATGAAACCTACCTACATTCAAATGTTTATAAAAAAAAAAAAAAAAAAAATGCTTTAGGCAAGACTAAAACAGTTTGTTTGTTTGAAAATAGAGGGTCTGATCTTTATTTTGATGTACTGCATGTTCAGATATTCATACAACAAAATATTCAGGGGGCCATGACATTTTTTGTGAAAATCAGCAAAAACACTGGCGGTGGCTGGCAACTTTTCAAAAACGTTGGCGGGGAAAGAGTTATCAAGAAAAATATAGTGTTGTTTCCTTAATGCTGTATTAATTTGTCCTTAGGTTTCATTTGTCCACTGGTTTTGCAAATTCTATTTTGCAAATAGTTATAGCCATGTATATGCTTTTCGTTTGTATGAGAATGGTGTCTTTTGGCACAGATGGCTTAGCTTTAACTCCCTGTTTAAATTGTTTATGGCTTTGGACAATGTAATCAGTAGGTCATATACATCTATAAAAACTATATGCAAACAAGAAAACAAACGAGAAAGAAACAGGGAAAAAAAGCTTTTACAACCTCAGTCTCATGAAAAACACTGATAAAGATCTGCACAATGAATGGAGTTACATGAAAGCCAATGAATGGGTTTTAAATTAATAGTCAGGGGAGCATCAGATTGTGTTGACATATGCATGTCAAATGTATTGGTGAGGTTAATTAGGGGCCTGATGTGAATGCAGCTGTCTTTGAGGGCCAGCTGGGATTGAGTCTTTTGTTTCTGTGCTGTGGAAAATGAAGGGATGCTGAAAAGAAAGAGGAAGTGATAGAGTTGAAAAGACGGGAGCTTTCTTTTGGCATGCCGACTATGGATTAGCATTCTTCCGCTGCTTAAGCCACATCTCTCCTGCTCCCACTTATTCATTCTCTCATTTTACTCTTTCTTGTCTGACCGGCCACTTGTCCACAGTGTTCCGGGTTCAAAACAAGCTAAGCTTTATGGACGGCATGTTGTCATGCCACAGTTTGTAAAAACAAGCAAAAATAGCATTTGCACTAATGCATGTACAAAAGAAGCCTATGGGCAAGGCATTTAGGAGACATTTAGAAGCCTAAATGTGAAGCTTCTAATTTTGTTAAAGTGCTTACATTAATTATTTCATACAAAACTGTGTTATTTGAGCTGTAAAGTCTCAGTTATCCTTTTAACAGTAAGACTCTCCTGGGCAGATGAACGTCTGTTGTGTTATAAAGGTCATGGTTTTTCGCTATGTAAAGTCTAGCTAGTTAAGGTACGAGAGGCTGTGCTACAGTACAATCTGTTTTATTTAATCGATTTTATCACAGTTGGCGCAATTCCATTTTAGCATGTACTGTAAAATGTTGAAATTTTGTGATAATATTTGGAAAGTGTGTATTTTAATTAGCTGGTCAGCCAACATGGGTGGCTCATATGATACAATTTAATGATAGCTAAAGTTATGAATTTAAATATTTATTTTGTTTAGTTTTTACTTAAAGTTAGTGCTGTCAAACGATTAATCACGATTAATCACATCCAAAATAAAAGTTTGTTGTATGTGTGTGTACTGTGTATATATATATATATATATATATATATATATATATACAGGGGTGTGATACACACACATACAGTATATATTTTGAAAATATTTACATGTCTATATTTATATTCATATAATTTATATTATATATAAATATATTTAATATATAAACAACATATTTTTCTGAAATGTATACATGCATGTGTGTGTATTTATATAAACATAATAAATATACACAGTACACACACACACTATGTAAACAAAAACTTTTATTTTGGATGTGATTAATCGCGATTAATCGTTTGACACCACTACTTAAAATTCATGAAAATATCTGAAAACTTAAAATGTGCAGTATCAATCTATCAGTCTATCACAGATTTAATGTTTAAGTGTTAAAATGGAATTTATTGCTGTGATCAAAGCTGAATTTTCAGCATCATTACTTCAGTCTTCAGTGTCACATGATCCTTCAGAAATCAGTCTAATATACTAGAAACATTTCCTATTATCAGTGTTGAAAACAGTTGTGCAGCTTCATAATTTTGTGGAAACTGTGACATTTTTTTTCTAGGATTTGATGAACAAAAAGTTCAAGAATAGCATTTATTAGCATATATTGAAATAAATATCAGCAAGTACATTAATTTGTCCTCGCTGAATCTGAGTCTTAATTTTAAAAAAGTAATTTAAATCCAAAATAAGTGCAAATGCGACAAACGGATCAGTTTAACTTAGTTGTTTATTACCCATACTTTTAATCAAAGATTGACAACCATTCAAACACAACCAAACTTATACATTTTTCTCTACCTCATACACCCATTTAGTACTTTGGCCAACTGCTGACATCAAACAAACGCGAATACAAACAAGCACACTCACACACGCTGCACTGCCAACATCAAAATCAAGTTTTACCTTTCTTTTCTCCCAATAAACAAATAAAACGAATAAAATAAATTAAAAAGGCGACTTCCAAAAACCATGCACTAATTATACAAATGCAACAAATAAATATTAACATCTAAATTAAAATACAGAAGCTCTCCCAATTGAAAAGCAAGTACAGCCACAAAATGTGCTGTGAACACGCACTCACACAAACGATACTGATCTAGCACTGCGACCTCATGGTGATCCTATCAGGCCACAGGAAGCACGCAGGTGAGCATTTCTCGTGAGAATAAGAGTGACGTTACATTCATTAGACTGCATTGTTGCACTGTGAGGTGTTGTTATGAGCATGCGGCTTTGCTTCTATCCTCATGGTGAAGTTACGTGACACTGTGGTTTGTTAGATGACCATATGTCATGTTGCATCAGGATTACAGCTATACCAGCTGTTCTTAATGAATTGTGAGTCAAGGAAACACCAGTATTTATGAAATGGTCATGGCCTTTTATAATATAGCACCAGACCGTTTAGCACAGGGGGTGCCCAAACTCTTGTCCTGCAGAGTTTAGCTCCAACTTGCCTCAACACACCTGCCAGGAAGTGTCTAGTATGACTAGAAAGAGCTTGATTAGCTGGTTCAGGTGTGTCTAATTGGGGTTGGAGCTAAACTCTGCAGGACACCGGCCCTCCAGGACCGAGCTTGGGCACCCCTGGTTTAGCACATAACATTTCATTTTTTGTTAATAAGTATAATTAATAATTGCATCCAATTTCTTATTATAGGGACCGTTACATTTTCACTTTTCAGAGTTTTAAAGGTTCTGTCATTTACTCAACCTCATGTCCTTCCAAATCTGTTTGACGTTCTCTTCTGGGGAACATATCATGCAGCAAAGCGATAGTTCACTCAAAAATGAACATTTGCTGTTAATTTACTCACCCTCAGGCCATCCAAGATGTAGGTGACTTTTTTTCTTCAGTTGAACATTAAAGATGTTTAGCTGAAACCGTGCTCCTTGGTGATTCATAAAATGCAAGTCAGTGGCTGCCATCACTTTGAGAGTCAAAAAAGCATATACAGATAACAAAAAATGAAAACTCATGGCTCCTGATAATATATTGAGGTCTCATGAAGTGAAACGATTGGTCTGTGCAAGAAACTGAACATTATCCAGACATACTCACTGTTTGCCTGGAGCTCCGGATTACAGATAACGTTGTAAATAATGTTCAGTTTCTTGCACAGACCAATCGTTTCACTTCATAAGACCTCAATATATCGCCATGAGTATTCATTTTGTGTTGCCTGTATATGCTTTTTGACTCCTAAAGTGACAGTAGCCATTGACTTGCATTTTATGAATCACCAAGGACCACGGTTTCAGCTAAAACTCTTCTTTACTGTTCTACGCAAGAAAAAAGTCACCTACTTCTTGAATGACCTCAGGCTGAGAAAAAAAAACAAAACAGCAAATTTTCACTTTTGGGTGAACTATCCCTTTAAAACTACATTTTCATTGTACGAAACACAGAGAAGTGTGAACATTCTTCATAACATCTACTTTTGTGTTCCACAGAATTTTGAAAGTTAAACAGGTTTGGAACTTGAGGATAAGTAAACGACAAAACTTTACCTCCATTTTAATAATGACGTGTTCTAGATTGATTTCTAACATTACTAATAATGCTGTAACTTGTAAAGCATCTATAAGCATTATGGTCTCAAAAGGATCTTCTGCATTATTATGTTATGTTTGTTAGAAAGACAATTTTGAAGTTAGGTTATTCTGATTTAGGTCAACTTTGTGAACAAACGAGTTTCTATAAAGTAGGCAATTAAGCAAACACGAGTGATGTAGTACACAGGCAAATGACTGGTGAGATCAGCTAAAGCCTTACACTAAAGTGAGTCTGGTTCTATTTCAGTTAAGTGAGTCTTGGCGGCTGAACTCTGAGTCAGAATTGGGGTCCGGGAGGGCATGGTTATCCTGGAGATCGGGTTCAAGATCGGGATCATTCTCGTCATTGCTTTCTGCGCTGTAGTCGACTTCCTCCAGGAACGCTGGCTCATCCTCTTCCAACACGTATGTGGTGGGACTGCAGGAAACACACACACACACGGCTAAGTATATGAGAAGTGAGATCATATCTTCAGACAGAAACAGATAGAACAATTTATTCCCATAAATCACAATCAGTCTACCTCATTTCTATTAACACTACTTTAATACTCAGTCGTGTGAGATTTTTATCTCTTCTGCAAGTGATGTTTGGAAGGCAAAACTTGATGCCTTAATGTTAGGGTGTTACTGTTAATAAGGCGTTCTGGGTAATTGCTAGGTGTTTTTGTTTCAGTCGCATTGTTCTCACACCTTTTGACTAATGACCTTCCATCTGCACTAACCGAGAAATCACACCAGCATTAGTTTTAAATGAACCTAACCTGCCAAATGTAAACATGCCCTAAACTTTGCTCGGATGCGAAGATGTTAAAGGAACACTCCACTATTTTTGAAAATTGGCTCATTTTCCAACTCCCCTAGAGTTAAACAGTTGAGTTTTACCGTTTTCGAATCCATTCAGCCGATCTCCGGGTCTGGCGGTAGGACTTTTAGCTGTAGCTTTGCATAGATCATTGAATATCGGCTGAATGGATTTGAAAACGGTAAAACTCAACTGTTTAACTCTAGGGGAGTTGGAAAATGAGCCTATTTTCAAAAATAGTGGAGTGTTCCTTTAAAAGTGAAATTGGCAGTGCGAATAAGTGCATATTCACATAGGGTCTAAGCAGCAGCATTAGCATAGCATTTTAAACCTTTTTTGTGTGGCATTTTGGCTTTATTGTTATAGGACATATTGCAATATAGACAGACAGGAAGCGAAATGGTGGAGAGAGGAAGATGGGATTGGGAAGGGTCCTCGAGTCGGGACTCGAACTCGGGTCGTCTGAAGTGCAACCGCTTTACATGTCGGAGGGCTCTCCATAAGTATATCGGCCCTGACACACATTAAGGTATTTATAGAAGTCAATGAGCTCAATCATGCTTGAGAAACAATACATGAATGTACTTATGGATCATATTAAGCAATGCTAAGCATAAGAAAATGCAATTTATGTTTAAGCTAGCTTCCCAAGGATGCTAATGGAATTATAATGTTTGCATGTGAGACTGAGTAACTAAACAATGCTATGAATGAGAGTTCATGTTTCGGAACATCTTAAGAGAGAAAATTAATTTATTCATGCAATTAGAATCATTATGTATTTACATTTAATTAGGCTAAGCAATTCTAAGCATGTGCAGTTTTCATGAAGATTGGCTCTACCAACATCAGCAGCTCCTGTGCGGGGAAGCAGTTATATAGCAGCTACTGCACCATCGGGTTAATCCAGCAGTTGTATGTCGATAAGCATCTTCTGTGTCAAGTGTGCATTGATGATCATTATATTCAAGTGAATTACTTCTTTGCAATCAGAATGGATTCTACAATTAGAGCACAATCAGCGGCTTCATAACAACCAGGAAATCCTTGCTGTCTTGAAGCTTTGAAACATACAGTTTGAAAGTACTTTAAAAGCAGTGCATTCATTACTTATACTTCTATTTTACCTAAAATTCATATACTTTTAACTTCTGGATATAGAATTCATGAAAGTCCCTTTTAAGGTAAGTCAGTTCACTCGATGTCCTTATTCACAACACCTACAGGCCACTCCTGTCAACAGGAGACTGGTTTTCCTTGGCTGTAAACAAAACTTGGTTCTTGCGAGACTAGCATATTCTCACCGGAGTTTATGCTAAGCCTTCTTCCTACATCATCCGCAGGAACACCACTCTCTCATGAACATGAGTATGACAGTTAGTGGAAGCTAGAGATTACGGTTTATATAGTTTTAAATATGGCTATTTTTCTTATACAAATGCATGGATTTACTTCAGAAGGCCTTTACTAACCACCTGTGTGGAGCACTTTTTATGATGGATGAATGCACTTTTTTGGGCTTCAAAATCTCGACCCCCATTCACTGCCATTATAAAGCTTGGAAGAGCCAGGACATTTTTTTATAACTCCGATTGTATTTGTCTGAAAGAACAAAGTCATATACACCTACAATTCCTTGAGGGTGAGTAAATCATGGGGTAAATAAAAATTTTTATGGCATGTTGCGTGTTCGGCAACAATTTTTTTTAACCCTAACTAATGCAGTGTGAAGTTTTTTATTTCTTAAACAACCATGTCAGAAGATGTACCCATGTACATATTCCAGGATGTCAATGTCAAGATTCAGTGGGCCCAAATTTGGAGAGATTGGCCAACACAGAGTCCCGAACTTAACCCCATTGAAAGTCTTTGTGATGTGCTGGAGATGACTTTATACTGCCTGCCCAAAAAAGTTGCAGACTCTAATATTTAATTGGACTGTCTTTGTAACCTATTTAACAATCTAAGCGCATGGACTAAAGCGCACAGCGCAGGTGCACGTAGGGTGTGTCCAAATCCACTTTTGCTAGTTTAACAATGGGAAAAACAGTCGGCGCGCCTGGCACATGGTCTAAAAGGGTTGTCCCTATTCTCTTCATGAGTAATGGGTGTGTTTTGGGCATAACGTGCAATAAATCAATCAGAGTCTCATCTCCCATTCCCTTTAAGAGCCAGTTGTGCTCGTGCCATAGCGGATTTGCTATTTACACGGCGGAATTTGCAAGCGCAAAGACAGAACGCATCTCCAGAGAGGAAACGGAGATGCTAGTGCGCGAGCAAATAGGTAGCCTAATTATGATACATGCAATGACTATCCATTATGACACGTAGGCATTTTTATATTTATGTAGCCTACACAATAATAATCTTTTATATTGCAATCCTTTAATTTTTTATATTTGGCATGTTTGTGTGCTGCTGTGCGTCCCTGTGTGTGTAATAAACAGAGTATACGCGCGCTGTGGACCCGCCTATACTAACGCGCTTTTTAAATAACAAAAAAACTACTTGCCATTGACTTTAGACCAGGTTTTAGTTGGTCAATGGCGCAGTCTATTTCAGTTGCCTCAAAATAACAATGCGCCAGCAATGCGTCTGAACACACCTCATTTTCAGACCAGCATGCCCATGGGCGCACAAATGGGCGCAAATGCATTTGCTATTTAAACAACGTGGCGTAGGACGGGAAAATGACAACTGCGTCTCGCTGAAACTAGCAAAAAACACTTGCGTCGCACCTGGCGCCGCATTGCGCTAGTTGTATGATAGGGCCCTTCAGCTTTAATAACATTATGCTTTCATTGTGGCATTGTTTCGACAACGTTATGCAACATCACAACATTTATTTCCATTAAAAGTTGCATACATTTTTGGCCGAGATCTTGTATTGACAAAGGGAGAGTTAAAGTCGACTCCAGACTTTCAGTAGGGTTAAGCTCAGGACTCTGTGTTGGCTAAATCATATGTGAAAATGATTCCTCATGCTCACTGAACCACTATTCCACAGTTTGGGTCCAATGAATCCTGACATTGCCATCCTGAAATATTGACATGAGCACATCTTCCAAACTAGGGCCAGATTTACTAAACACTGCAAATTAGTGTTAGAGCACAATTCCATAAAAGCCCTGATGGGAAGAACACAGACGCAGCCAGATCATTTCCATAATGACCAGCGCAATCTACCAAGAGCAGTGCAAATTTCCACTGGCTTTAAGACATGCTTTTTTGGGGTTTAAATAATGGCGCAAATACCAGTAATTTGACGAGCGCAAACGTTAATAAATCGCATTGGGCGATTCATATTAATACCCTCCTCCCGTAAATTTTGCGTCTGAAAGGGAAACTCCTGAATCCTGACATTGCCATCCTGAAATATTGACATGAGCACATCTTCCAAACTAGGGCCAGATTTACTAAACACTGCAAATTAGTGTTAGAGCACAATTCCATAAAAGCCCTGATGGGAAGAACACAGACGCAGCCAGATCATTTCCATAATGACCAGCGCAATCTACCAAGAGCAGTGCAAATTTTCACTGGCTTTAAGACATGCTTTTTTGAGGTTTAAATAATGGCGTAAATACCAGTAATTTGACGAGCGCAAACGTTAATAAATCGCATTGGGCGATTCATATTAATACCCTCCTCCCGTAAATTTTGCGTCTGAAAGGGAAACTCCTACAAATGCATATTCAATAAGGTCAGGCGCAAAAATAACTGTCTCCACGCCTCTTCAGCGCTAATTCGTCACTGCACGTCTTTAGTAAATCCTGACAGTACTATTTTAACGCCAAAAGACGGTTTTGCACTGACGCAAGCTGCTAATAAATCTTTGTTTGAGAAACAAAAAGCTACACACTGCATCAAGTTAGGGTTAAAAGAGTTGTTGCCAAACATACAACATATTAATCACTGCAATAACGCTGCAATTCTAGAGTCTTCAGTATTTGCTTATTTGAATGCAAATGGCAGGCAGTGTATACAGGCTGTGTATACTATATAAAACTGCAAGTTTAACAGATATTCCCATGATTGTTTGGTATATGGCGGACCAAGTAAACAGAGCTCTATAATATTCTTCCCTTTAGAAATAACTCAGAACCCCCATTCATTGTAAGTCTATGGGATTCCCCATCTCTCCTCAACAAGCTGCACAATTTGAGTCATCATTCATGCCCTTAGCATAAACGCTGCGGGACGAGTTCCGAGCCACAGTTTAATACTGTAGGTTAAAGGGTTGTTCAAATCTCTAACCCTAATTTTGAGCTTTAATAAATGACCGGTCAATACAACAAAACCAATAAACGACTCCTGCAGGTTAGCGGTCGAAAACCTCATGTGGCGGCAGAGGAGGCATTTCTTTGCATGCCTCTCTCTCGGTGTCTCTCTCTCCTAACGCAATAACCTTACTAAGAGTGATGATGGTTTTATGGCTCTCTTGTTAAGCAGTTAAATGGTTTAATGTGTGGTCTGGTGGTTTGGCTGGTTTTAGTGGGTTTTTAATGGTTTTAATGGTGTGAGGGGGAAGCAACTGGATCTGAGCGAGACGGGCAGAGGGGAGGGGGGGCAGACTCAAAGTGGATTAGCGGGCGTTTTGATCAGGTGATTAGATGACTATAATGAGCAGAGTGCTTCTCTCTTCACTCAAGTGCGCTGAGCCCCATGTGACTGACATCTCCTCAAGTGGTGCCGGCCATTAGAAGAGGCCTGCAAGATCGTGTGTGTGTTGTTATCCATTACAGAAATACACAAGCTGGGAGGGGCCGAAGTACGTTCCCAAGAAGCTTCTAGACTATAGAAGCTTCTGACATCATGGCTATTATTGTTCTAAACATTGCGGGCTCCGAGCTGCTTAATGTTGTATTGAGATTCGATATGGCAGCTGTTGTGCCGGTTCATGCGGCAGCCGGATAACAGGACGTCCTGAGCTGGATACGGTCACTGTACTGGTGCGTGAGCGTTTACCTGGTGATGTTGGGGATGCTGCGGGTGTCTATCAGGTCGTTCTCCGTGTCCAGCAGATGGGAGTTGTGGTTGTGGAGCTCTAAGGGGGACGTGAAGCGTCTTAGCCTGAGCAGAGCCAAACAAAACTGAGCACCCATTTCTTCCAGTTCACTTGTACCGATCTGGAGCCCCTGCAAACACACATACACCTGTTACAAGCACTATTTTTGAAGGATTTGTTTGCAAAATGACATCCGAGTTACATTTTAACAGAGGACGTCTGTGATTTCAGACAGCATTGGGGTCTCTGAGTGTATATTGTCTGGATGTGGGACATGATGAATTAAAATAGTTAATTAAAACATATTAAATATTATCATTAGAGGAATTAATTCAATGTATATTCCAGGTCCACTATAAAATACAGTATAATATATACAATTTGTAACTTTTTACATTTTTAACATTTAATTTTTTTTTTACATTTATTTAAAATAAAAAAGACAAATATGGTAACACTTTATTTTAATGACCAATTCTCACTATTAACTAGTTGCTTATTAGCATGCATATTACTAGCATATTATTTATTTATTTATTTATTTGTTTGTTTGTGCCATTTGTTTGTTGATTTCCTCAAAAATAATTTCAACTCGCCAAAACTTGTATTTAATAAAAAGAAAAAAGCAATTAGGATTACAGTGAGGCACTTAGAATGAAGGGGGGAGGGGGAGGGGGTCAATTTCTGGAGGGCTTAAAGGGATAGTTCACCCAAAAATGAAAATTCCGAAGACTGATCGTTTTGTGTCTTTACACATCAATGTATCGTCACGAGCCGCATGGTTTCATTTGGTTTTGTTTGTGTATGTTTTTTTGACTCTCAAAGCCGTGATTCCCATTCACCTCCATTATATGACTGACAGACTGCAACGGTTTGTGTTAAAAATCTTCGTTTGTGTTCTACTGAAGAAACAAAGTCACCTACATCTTGGATGCCCTGGGGGTAAGCAGATGAACATCAAATTTTCATTTTTGGAGGAAAAAAAAAAATATATATATATATATATATATAAAATCTTTTTGGTGAGCATGCGAGAGTTAGGCGAATTGTTAATTTTGTTGTGATAGTATGTCCTTTTAGCAGTGGAGGCACTGGCAGAGAATGAAGAGAGGAGTGATCGATATACATTAAGGTCAGTAAAACTTACATTAATACTGTTAATTTAATAAACAGTTTATAAAAAACAACCCAAAAGACTAAAGAGAAACTAAAAACATAACTTAACCAAAAATAAACAGCCAAAATAAATCATCTTTTTCTGTAGGCAAGAAGCTCTTCACATATAGGACTAATCTGAACTGTCTGTGAAACTAAATACAACAGTCTGTGCACTAATCAGCTGATCTCTGATGCATATTGCACACTAAACTGGAAAATACTTTCTCAATCTGCTGAAATCTATGATTGGCAGGCTGTACACAACTTCCTCAAGTAAAGGCACACAGGTGTTTTTTTATCAGTCTCCTTGGAAGCAAAGCCATGTTTATGATGCACTGGGTTGATTCACTGAAAGCACTAATCACTGGATCTGCCAAAGTTTGTTATTAATCAAATTCAATCTTTGAAAGAATGTAGTTTGTGGTACTTAGTAGCAAGTAAACTAGACACCCACAAGCTGCTTTGTTTTGCGTCTGTGAAGTAAACAGCACTTACTGTATTGCTTTTGGATTCTGATCGCAATAGTTAACAGTTTCTAAAATTTTCTGGTGTTTTCGGTTAAAGCTGCTCACAGAGAATGCTGAGCCGGTATTTAATTGTTTTTTAAAATGTTTTCCCCCCATACCTATTTTTATTATTATTTATTAACTATCATTATAAAACAGATAGTTCCGGTCCTTGATTCTGATTGGTTGAGCCGCGTTCAAAGCTGTTGAAAAATACTCTACAAACATACACCTTTGTTTACTTTGTGTGTTGCTCGGCAACCACTTTGTTGGAACCACAACTGTTTTTGAGGAACTACATTGTTTGGCGGAAGAATAATGTTTTTATTAATATCATTACACTTTATTTGCTCTGTTTTATTTTGTGAAACCTTACTACGTATATGGAATAACCATTTTATAAAAGCAATAAGCCCAGTGAAGCTGTGGTTTACAGTGAATTTATAACAACTAAGGGGCGTTGTTAGAAAACCCCCTTAGCTGTTATAAATTCACTGTAAACCACGGCTTCTTGGGGCTTATTGCTTTATTTAAACCTGCTGCTAAATGACATGTAAAAACAAATGGCAGGCAGCTAGACATGTCAGTCTGGTGGTCTCTTAAAATTGGCAATTTTTTTGGATCAGTCTTTGTCAAAAATTAAACTTAAACTGAAATTAAAATGTTTAAAAGGGAAATAAAGTAAAACGAACATGATTTTTTTCTTCTTCTTTTTTTAGCAGCAACTTGTACAAAAATTAAGGGACAGAAAATGAGAATACAGAAAAGGTTACATGCTGTTTCAGATTCAAACATGTAGTGGCCACATGAGCCAATATTTGATGGCTTCAACACAGGTCTGAACACACTGTTTTAAAACTATAGAATACAAAGCTGCTTATTAGTTTTAATGGGACAATACATTAGCATAGCACTAATCTAGTTATTGTAAATTTTAAGTTTGTCACTGTTATATTCACATACTGGGCAGAAACAAGCTTCAGCCATGTTCCTTGGACTCACAGAGACGCCATTATGTGTCCTGCAGACAGGAGACTGTGAGTCACGGATCGTTCACACATGGCCTATAGCGCCATCTACTGTTCTCCTTCAGTATGAAAACCATCAATATTTAAACATCATTTAGGTAGAGAAACAAGCAGTGGTTATATCACTTTTGATAATAATTTTTGATAATAATGACATCTGTTCAGCTCTTGTGTGTCAGTGGATTCTGTTGGTGTCCAAGAAACAATGAATTAGTCCAATTTTCTTTTCTTTTCTTTTCTTTGTTACAGATATGTGTCAGTGGAAATATAAAACATATGCAGCTATACCGAATGACACTGTCATTAGAATGTAACATTACAAAATGCTTCCTATGTGGAAATGCTTCAGGTTTATGGTAAATATACAGTATAACAGATATAATTTGCCTACTTTTCAAGCTACAGGAATAGCTGATTAAATGCAAAGTAATGTATGCGTTATCAAGACATCATACATCTTTTTAGACATGCAAAATAATCAAGATATTTTGTAAAACTACCTTTATGATCACAAAATGACATCTATGCATTTTGAGCCAGCTTTAGTGAAACCTGAAAGCAATGGTTTACTGGCTACATCAGTAAACAAACTCTAGAGTGATGCTAGAACATGCTTTTTGCTTATGTTATTTCAGAATTTCGACAACTTAACTGTGATTCTAAAATGTAGAAAATAGTCAGTAGGTGTGGTCAAACTTTTTCCATCATTTCTCTGATATTAGGCACACTAAGCTGATTTTGAACAGGCAATGTGTGGAATTATTTCCACTTTATGAAGTCCAGTGATGAAGATGTAGTTGTTTTTACTTGGAGGATTGCAGAAAGTCTTACAGCATTGTTCCAGAACAAACAACTGGTGAAAAGTTCTCATATCATTCTTATTCTCCACCTTTTGATAGGCCGAGTAACCCCACAGCTATACACACTTGTACAGGCTTTTCGCATTACGCATAACCCTGGGTTAAAAATATGTTAACTCAGGCTTAACGCCACTTTTACAACTGGGTTAAACAATGTGAAAAGGGCTCAGCACTGTTTTAAACTGTGGGTTATGAAGCCCAGCGAGTCGTGAATTGTTAACACAAGGTATAGTGTGGCATCTCTGTCTGGATGAACACTCATCTCAGATGGCTGAATTATCACAAACCAAGCTGTTGTTCATTCCAGCCAAGAAACACCCTGCCAAGACCATGCCGTATCATTAGATAACTTAACTGTCTCACCCTCACAGAAAGCCAAGAGTCCTGATGTCACACTGGACAACGTTTATTTGCACCCTGCATATGGTTAAAACTTCTTTATCTGCAGTTGTCTTGGTAACCCGATATTCTTGGTCATTTTCAGCAGACACCAAGATTTTGAAAAACTTCTAAATATTCTAAAATATTACTGATAAAAAAAAGGCTTAAATTTAATTACAAAAAAAACAAACATCCGTCTCTCTTTTTCTGTAAATAGCCCCCCCTCACCTTGTATTTGCCCTGGTCGCAGCCGCACAGCGTGCTCTCCATGGTGTAGCTGCGCTGCACTCCGATCTCTCTCCACACCACCACTCGCGCCGTGGTCTCTTTAGAGCGTTCGACTACAAAACTGCAGCTGGACAGACTGAACGCTGGAGCCATCTGAGACAGCAGCTTAGGCAGAGTCTAAAAAAACATGACGCACAATGAGCTTCTTCAACTTCAAGTGCATTTTAGAAAGCTAAATTACTTGACAAGATCAACACTCGACAGAGAGTATCTCTTTTTTTACATGATTATTCTCTACTATCTCTTTGACCCTTAAAATCAAACAAACTGTTTATCCTGCTGTACTTCTAAAAGAATAATTCACCAAAAACGAAAATTCTGTCATTTACTCATCCTCATGCCATTCCAAAATCTTATGACTGACTATAGTCTGCGAAAATGTATGTGATATTTGAATAATGCTTAAGTTGTTTTTGTCTATATAATGTAACCCAAATATTTTAAGCTCCAAAGTTGGCAAGCTACCTTTATTTCTATAGCGCTTTATACAATACAGATTGTGTCAAAGCAGCTTCGCGGTAATAAACAGGAAAATAGCAGAATCAATTATGGAAACTCAAATATGGAGACAGTTCAGTGTTGATTCAATTAAGATAGGGCTACTTGAAAAATCATTTTAATCGTGATCACAATTTCTGCTTTTGTCGATTTATTAAACATAATAGTCTTTGATATTTGCTTTACATTTGTGACATTTGGTTATTTATTCTGAAAAAGTTTCATTTCAGTTTGGTGTTATCTTGCATTGATAACAAGCCTTCACAAGCTTTCAGGTTGCGTTTGCCTGAATTTAAATCAGAGCTTTTCTCTTAAATTGATACATTTTCTTCCCAGTGGTTTGCATAATATTCCCAACCTGGCTTACTCTACATTACAGAAAAAGCACTGAGGAGCTGAAAACACCGGCAAACATTAAAGTTGGAGTTTAGTCATCACTACTGAGATATTCTGCTCAAATAAAAGTAAAATACAGCCAGTCAGTTTTCTTTTACATGGTCTTTTGTGCTGTTTGCTGCGAGCAGGTATAAAGGTAGCATGAATTCTTTCCAAACTGAAACATTGACCAGATATCTTCTTTTGTGTTAAACACAAGCATTTCCATTCACAAATTTCCATGTTTTGGAAACCAGTTCCTTTAATATGTAAACTTGGGCAGTCATATGTGCAGGATGTGTAGACGAGCCATTTTTGCAGGTTAGTTACCATAATTGATCTGGATCTTTGTATATTGTAAGATGATGTCTACATAATACATGCCAAAAAATGTCAATAAAAGATTTAATAAAAGTGTGCAGCTGTGTTACCCTGTATCCAAGGTCCTCGTGTAGTTCACAGGTGCTGGTGTTGACATTGGTCTGCCACACCGTCTCCTTAATACTACAGCCGTACATGAAAACGTTCTTCTTCCGTGAATGGCCGTGATAGTCGCAGAACACCTAAACACACACCGTTAAGAGACAAACACGCTGCTTGTGTCATTAACTCCATTTAAACTGAGTTCTCTCATGTACAGCGTGATGCTCTCTCACCAGTGGAGTTCTTCCTGTAGCTCTGAGGTACTGCAGGAGACTCTTGGCGTGGTAGATGGTGGGGTGCAGCTCGGCATTGGGGTTCTGCCACTGTCTGTTCAGATCCTCCCCACTCAGAGAACAACGATGACTGCAGAGTAAAAGCGAAGAATATTGGAAATATGTTATTACAGATAAAGTATCTGAAGAATGAAAAATATCAATATTTTTATTATGCAAAACCTAATCACTGCATGATACAGTATGCAGATTACTAAAATTAATTGCACATCAATTTGGGCTCAGAAATTACAAAAAAAGTAGCTTTAAAAAGAAATATTTTGATTCAACATAAAATTTAAGCAACTGCATGCAATGTGACCTGACGCACAGGTATGGGCCAAGGTGGAGTGCTTTAAATGCGTTAATAATTTTGACACACAATTTTTTCTATGATTAACTGCATCACATTAACATGTTAAATTGACACCCCTAGAAATTATATAGAACTAAAATATTAAACATGTTATTTTTAAAAATGGAAAACTTTGGATGGTGCTGCATTCTAATGATGAATGAAAGGGGTAAATACTTAACAAAAAAAAAAAAAAAACGTATTGTCAACATGATCTCTGTCAGTATCTCTATAGAATCTAGTGTTCTATGTTGACATACTTTCCATTAATGACACCATCAGGGTTGAGTATGGGGATGATTTTGAAGATGTAGCTCTCTCGTAGACGTTGGGCTTGGGGACTGCAACTCATGAGATACTCTAGAGTGCCCTTCATCACCCAGCTAGAGTTAGTCTCTCCAGGATGTACTCGCGCAGACAGAAACACCACTGGACGGCTTCCTACAAACACACATTACAGCATAGCTGAGTGTGCCATACCTATTCACAGACAGCTTGCATTCATTATTCAAGAATGCATTGAAGAGTGCTTGAATGAGCGCATGCGCAGGTGCATTCAAGAATGCATCGAAGAGTGATTGAATGAGCGTATGCGCAGATGCATTCAAGAATGCATTGAAGAGCTCTTGAATGAGCGTATGCGCAGGTGCATTCAAGAATGCATCGAAGAGTGATTGAATGAGTGTATGCGTAGGTGCATTCAAAAATGCATGGGAGAGTGCTTGAATGAGCGTATGACCAGGTGCATTCAAGAATGCATTGAAGAGTGCTTGAATGAGCGTATGCGCAGCTGCATTTAAGAATGCATGGAAGAGTGCTTGTGTGAGCGTATGCGCATGGCGTGGTAGATGGTGGGGTGCAGCTCGGCATTGGGGTTCTGCCACTGTCTGTTCAGATCCTCCCCACTCAGAGAACAACGATGACTGCAGAGTAAAAGCGAAGAAGATTGGAAATATGTTATTACAGATAAAGTATCTGAAGAATGAAAAATATCAATATTTTTATTATGCAAAACCTAATCACTGCATGATACAGTATGCAGATTACTAAAATTAATTGCACATCAATTTGGGCTCAGAAATTACAAAAAAAGTAGCTTTAAAAAGAAATATTTTGATTCAACATAAAATTTAAGCAACTGCATGCAATGTGACCTGACGCACAGGTATGGGCCAAGGTGGAGTGCTTTAAATGCGTTAATAATTTTGACACACAATTTTTTCTATGATTAACTGCATCACATTAACATGTTAAATTGACACCCCTAGAAATTATATAGAACTAAAATATTAAACATGTTATTTTTAAAAATGGAAAACTTTGGATGGTGCTGCATTCTAATGATGAATGAAAGGGGTAAATACTTAACAAAAAAAAAAAAAAAACGTATTGTCAACATGATCTCTGTCAGTATCTCTATAGAATCTAGTGTTCTATGTTGACATACTTTCCATTAATGACACCATCAGGGTTGAGTATGGGGATGATTTTGAAGATGTAGCTCTCTCGTAGACGTTGGGCTTGGGGACTGCAACTCATGAGATACTCTAGAGTGCCCTTCATCACCCAGCTAGAGTTAGTCTCTCCAGGATGTACTCGCGCAGACAGAAACACCACTGGACGGCTTCCTACAAACACACATTACAGCATAGCTGAGTGTGCCATACCTATTCACAGACAGCTTGCATTCATTATTCAAGAATGCATTGAAGAGTGCTTGAATGAGCGCATGCGCAGGTGCATTCAAGAATGCATCGAAGAGTGATTGAATGAGCGTATGCGCAGATGCATTCAAGAATGCATTGAAGAGCTCTTGAATGAGCGTATGCGCAGGTGCATTCAAGAATGCATCGAAGAGTGATTGAATGAGTGTATGCGTAGGTGCATTCAAAAATGCATGGGAGAGTGCTTGAATGAGCGTATGACCAGGTGCATTCAAGAATGCATTGAAGAGTGCTTGAATGAGCGTATGCGCAGCTGCATTTAAGAATGCATGGAAGAGTGCTTGTATGAGCGTATGTGCACGTGCATTTAAGAATGCATGGAAGAGTGCTTGTGTGAGCGTATGCGCAGGTGCATTCAAGAATGCATGGAAGAGTGCCTGAATGAGCGTATGTGCAGGTGCATTCAAGAATGCATGGAAGAGTGCTTGTGTGAGCGTATGCGCAGGTGCATTCAAGAATGCATGGAAGAGTGCTTGAATAAGCGTATGAGCAGGTGCATTCAAGAATGCATGTAAAAGCTTGAATGAGCGTATGCGCAGATGCATTCATAAATGCATGGGAGAGTGCTTGAATGAGCGTATGCACAGGCGCATTCAAGAATGCATCAAAGAGTGACTGAATGAGCGTATGTGCAGGTGCATTCAAAAATGCATGGGAGAGTGCTTGAATGAGCGTATGCGCAGGTGCATTCATAAATGCATGGGAGAGTGCTTGAATGAGCGTATGCACAGGTGAATTCAAGAATACATGGAAGATTGCATGAATGAGCGTATGCGCAGGTGCATTCAAGAATACATGGAAGATTGCATGAATGAGCGTATGCGCAGGTGCATTCAAGAATGCATGGAAAAGAGCTTGAATGAGCGTATGCGCAGGTGCATTCAAGAATGCATTGAAGAGTTCTTGAATGAGCGTATGCGCAGATGCATTCAATAATGCATGGAAAAGAGCTTGAATGAGCGTATGTGCAGGTGCATTCAAGAATGCATTGAAGAGTTCTTGAATGAGCGTATGCGCAGATGCATTCAATAATGCATGGAAAAGGGCTTGAATGAGTGTATGCGCAGGTGCATTCAAGAATGCATGGAAAAGAGCTTGAATGAGCGTATGCGCAGGTGCATTCAAGAATGCAATGAGACGAGAAGTGAGAGGTTCATGAGACTGAGTGCATATGAGCGATGCGAGCATGCATGGGTATGCATGTGAGAGTGTTCATGCGAGTAAGTGCATGTGAGTGTGCATGAGGACGTATGTGAGTGCTCCTGAGACTGAATGCATGTGGAAGTGTATGAGGACACATGTGGGAGTTCATGTGAGTGTGCATAAGGATGCATGTGAGAGTGTTAATGAGAGCGAGTGCATGTAATCATGCATAAGGACATGTTATTGTTCATTAAAGAGAGTGCATGAGGACACATTAAAGAATGTTTGTGAGAGTGAGTGCATGTGAGTGTTTATGAAAGTGGATGCATGCAAGAGTGTTCATGGGAGTGAGTGTATACAAGTACGCACGTGGACACATGAAAAAGTGTTAATGAGAGTGAGCATATGAAGATGCATGTACTGTAAGGGTGTTAACGAAAGTGGGTGCATGTGAGCCTGCATGAGGACGCGTGTGAGAGTGTTTATAAGGTGTGTGAGCGTTCAAGTGAGTGTTCATGAAAGCAAATGCATATGAGAGTGTTACAAGAGAATGCATGTGTTCATGAGAGTGAGTGCATTTAAGAGTGCATGTTAAGAATGCTATACTGCTATGGCTGTATGCTTATCAGTGATATTCTTGTGTGTGTTACATACTGAACTGGCTGATGTGATCATTGCTGGATGATCCTGGCATGGCTGTGATGGTGAGCAGGGGACAGCTGTTTCCTCCCAGAGTTTCACACAGATCATCCTGTCTGTAGTAGATCTGAGCTGTGCGCAAAGCACTCAGCTTCTGCAGATGCATCTAAACAAAAGAGGAACATAATCAAAATGAATCAAAATACAGTATGTAACATAATATATTAAAAAATATCATGCCATATGTCCGCTGATGGTATCCATTTTCTGCTGGATTTCTGAGGTACGGATAAATATTGCCATACAAAACCACTAGTCTACAGCTCTAACGGTATTGCTGAATATTAAGGTAAAAATGGCTACAAAAAGCATTATGATTTATAATAAGCATTCATTATGCACCTAAACTGGTATACTAATGGGCTTCTAGGTATTACTGTCATTCAGATTCATCAATTTAGGGAGGGCACATTTGTATAGTACCTTCAGCATTGAGTAGGTGTATGGGTAATGGTAGGCAAAGTAGCAAACATCATCTTTATGCTGAAAGGTCACAGTGAAGGTCAAGGTGAAGTAGGATTTGCCCTTTTGACCGCCAGCTGCAATGGAGCTTCGTGAGAAATTATTCCTGTGGTAGATAGGAATAGAAGTCAACTTGAATTCTTTTAAATCATAACTGTATTTCGAATGCATTATAACCGTTAATGATAATGTGTAATGATGAACATGGAAAGGATGGTCTTTACTTGTAGTAACAGATGTCTGATCCAGTTCTAACCCAATGGGGGCTGCCGTTGATGGCGTCCTGTACTGAGTACATGAGCACTTGCATGCCTGTCACACCATATATAGAAATCAGAAATCTGACAAACACACTCTGATTCTAAAGCTGGATATAGATGGGTTGGTGGGATGCAAATAGCTGAATATTCTTCAACCCCTATACATACTCTATGTTAATAAAAGATCAAATTGGTTTCCAGCTCTAGCTCTATTCATACTTAATAATCCAGGTTAATGGCACAGACATTTGAAAGTAACTATCGCCATTCACTTCTGCGTTTGTGTACTTGAGTAGAGTATCTTTCTGAACTAATGCTTGAAGTGATTCACCATAATTGAATTGGCTGTTGGACTTCTCACAGTTGATTATGTTGAATCGATAACGAACTCCAGGACGCATATTGCCCACCTCGAAATAGAACCACTGGTGGTAGTGATTACTATTGATATCCGAGTTCAAGATCAAGTCATACTCAAACCTGCCGATAGAAACAAGCAATACACAGAAATGAAAAAAATTAGAAACGGCTTCTTTATTTTATGAAAAGCACATTTATGAAAGAAAAAGGGCTTATAATGTAATGCTGCACATACTTTCTGACTTGTATTGCTTTCCGTAGGTTTCCAGACTCAAACTTAGAGTTGAACTTGAGAGACTCCCCGTTGTCAATTACTGGACAACTGAAAGAACATTTTTACATCGAAGATTCAAGCGTTTTGAATAACTCAAGACAAGAGCCTGGGTATGCATGAAACAATAAATATATAATTTTTTCCCCTTTTTAAATTCATCACTCTATTCCTACCAAAAAGAAGAAAAACAGAAAAGTGGCATTACTGTCAACAGGCCGGACGATATAGTTAATAAGTATTGTTTCACATTGTGCAAAATGCAGCTCTATGATAGCAAAAGGATTTCGTATGACTATAAAAATCTAAAATTCTTACATTACAAAAATTATCTTACCTATATTTTATTTTTATTTGATTATTTTTGATATAGCATTTGATAATTTTTGAATCAGTTTTCCATAACAAAAAATGTGTAATGTATATTGTTACAAAATTGTATATTTTCAGCTGCAAAACTGCAATAAAAATACTTGCCTACCCCTGATGTTAGTTTTTTAATTAAATATTTGCTTGATTATGTACAGTATACGCTCACTTGAATTTGCTTCGCTCATCATAGCAAGACCGTTTATTTTGGTTTCAGACACTCCTATTGTGCACACTGACCTCTGATTGTCTAAGTCATATACGACTTTATCGAGGATGTCACTGGGGTGAATGAGCCTCTCAATATCCTGGAAAATCTTCGTTCTGTTGGAAAAGAATGTCTTAAGTGTATAGTTCACTGAAAAATAAAAATTCTGTCATTTTGTCAACTTTCTTCCTACCATGGAGCACAAAATGAGGTATTCTGATAAACCTTCTATTCTTTAGAAGCATAGAGTGACCAGGAGCGGTCTATATCACTTATTTTAATTTGGCCTGATCATCACATAAAATTCTTCAGAAGATTTGGAATATAGTCACATGGACAACTTTGATGCTTTTATGGTGTTTTTTTTTTAAAGCTTGACAACCCCTGGCTTTTGTTGTATGGAAAAGAGCAGTGTGAACATTTTGCTGAACATCTCCTTTTGTTTTCCATGGAAAAAAAGATACAGGTTTGAAATATGGCATAGAACTGCTTTAAATAAGACTAAATAAGGATAAATAGTTCACACACACACACACAGAGAATTAGCTGAAAATGTTCTTTGAGACCATCCAAGATGAACGGTAGATGAGTTTCTTCATCGGAACAGATTTGGAGAAATTTAGCGTTGCATTGCAGTGAATGGGTGCCGTCAGAATGAGAGTCCAAACAACTGATAAAAGCATCACAATAATCCACAAGTAATCTACACCACTCCAGGCCATCGATTAACATCTTTTGAAGTCAAAAGCTGCATGCTTCTAAGAAGTAAATTCATCATTAAGATCTTTTAAACTTTAAACCATCACTTCTGGCCAAAATTCAAAAGTCCATAATTCATAATGACACTTCCTCCGGTGAAAAAGTCCATCCTCTGTTTATCTCTCACATCAAAAAAAGTCCACTGACATATTTGTTCAGAAATGCTTTGAATTTCTCTCCTGATTCAGACAAGATGACTTTTTCACTGAAGACGGCAACATTAGGGATAAGACTCATATTTTAGCCAGAAGTAAGGGTCTGAAGTTAAAAACATTTATTGACATTAATTGATGGACTGGAGTGGTGTGGATTACTTACTTACTTGTGGATTATTGTGATGATTGTTTTGTGATGTTTGGACTCTTATTCTGACGGCACCCATTCACTGCAGAGGATTCATTGGTGAGTGATGGAATGCTACATTTCTCCAAATCTGTTCAGATGAAGAAACAAATTCATCTACATCTTGGATGGTCTGAGGGTGAGTGAATTTTCAGAATTTTTTTATTTTGGGGAGAACTATGCCGTTAACATTTCAAAAAGGTAGTAAAACATATGTGTAGTACCTCTGCACACCATAAACCCTCTCTAGAATGGGCTCGCGGAGATTGAGTGCCACATGCCCAAAGTAATCTGGATAAGCCACCTCTGTGTAGGCGGGCACTGAGCGGGTGCTCTTCACAATCTCCAAGTAAAGGTCAGGGTCGTGCAGCGGCAGCAGTGCTGCGGTGTCTGGCACTTCCAGCACCGCTTGTTCCCCGCCCTCGTCCTGAGGCCCATCCGCAGAGCCTCCATTCACGCCAGCATCTAGAACCAGGCTGCCCAAACTACAGACCAGATCGGGGTCCGCTGTGCCCTCTGGCCTTTTTGAGATGGAAATGCTGTCCAGCTCCAGAGGGGATTCATTTGACTTGGGCGTCAGAAGGTCCTCTCGTAGTGGACGTCTGTTCTGAGGCCCCAAGGAGCTCGGCGTGGTGGGAATGATGATGGGACGATGAAGCTCGGTGTTAACACTTGATGGAGGGATGACAGATCTGGGGTTTTCAAAGTCATCATCCTGAGAACAAAACAGAAAGTGATCACACCTGATGACTAAGTGAATGAGTTTCCATATATGAGGGGTGAAATTAACAAAAGAAAGAAAAAATGGTAACAATACAAAAGTGAAGCTATTAAAGACATGTATTTTTGTGTCTGCAATTTTTGTAATCAGTGCATTTTTAGTTTACATGCATTTTTTGCCTTTTCATTATTTAATCAGAAGTGTCCTCACCTCAAAATTCTCTCTGAATTCCCGACAGAAATACTCGTAGGCTCTGAGCTCATCGAACGGACGCGTATTCATCTGTATGGGCCGCAGTTTGTTGATATCTGTCTCTATGTCATCATTCTGCGGTGCATAACAAACATGAATTATAAAATCAGTTTCCAGATTGCTCTTTTACAAATAATCGGAAACACATGTAGGCCTATGAGTCAAATAATCGGAAACACATGTAGGCCTATGAGTAGAAACAGCAGATCATTGTATAGGATTGTGTAAACACTGTGTGATAGAACAGGTCTATTTATTACCTTCCCATCAAGTCTGGGTTAAAGAATTAATTTGCAACAGACGACACATCTTCCAAAAAATTGAGCGGGCTGGTATTTGGCCATTTTAAAATGACTGGTATCGTCTGATAAACATTTCCTGCTTGGAAGTACAAAAATCACTAAAACTGAGATAAAAATAAATGTAAAGATTATATATATATATATATACATTGACAGAGGGAGCTGGGCAATTTGGGCTCCAGACTCATTCTTCCCACTGGTCGCTCTTTTGCAATTAACTTTCTCAGTTGGTTGCACGAGCAGTTTTATTTTATTTTTTTTTGCCTACAACATGCTATTAATCAATGCACGCTGATGGACTTTTATCGGTAGTTTATAGTTATATGGAAACGAAAGTAGTTAACCTTCAACCCGTTCTTTTTCATCAGTAGTATTATTTGTGATATGAATAAATGCACAACAAAAATAAAACAGTAGCCTAAGATTCAATGGCAAACTAGCTTACAAAACGTTATTAACAAAAACGAGTAAGATGAGGCATGGCCTACACGCTGTATTAGGCTATATAATGACTAATAAATTACAGAAAGTTTAGCAAACAGGAATAAAAATAAAAATAAAAAAAAAGAGAGCCTCCATAGCATAACGTGAGGTAAACGGCAAAGATAAGCTTTTCAAAATGAAAACAAAACAAAAAGAAAAGTAAAATCAACTACATCATCCACTAGCACAGAATACACAACCAGGATTTAATACCAGTTTATAACACTGCGTACAAAGAAGTATGAAACAGCATGCAGGGATGCAAACTCATCATGGGTGAAAAAGGTGACAAAGACACGGCAACCGCCCACCTCACACACACACACACACACACACACACACACAAAAATACCCCACACACACATTTTTTAAACACTTGTAGAATATTTTAACACCTTTATTATTTTTGAACTCTACAGTACAATTCACTTTTCATTCATGGAGATGACATGTGGAAAACAAAGACGACAATTAAGATGACAATTACATAAAACTACCATTATATCCAGTAGATGGCAGCAGAGGATCCTCATACAGGATACTCATTAGCTCAGTGCCATTTCCACTCCCTAGTTTTCACGTCTTGATTTTGAATTTACTATAAAATTACTATTATAACACATTTTAATACTGTACTGAAGTAGTATAGCAAGTACAATGAAATAATAATGCATTAATATTTTGAAATATTTTTAGATTTAATTTAAAAACGACATTTTTTAAACATTGCCTTAAAAAGGACACATAAAAAATAGTGTTTTAAGTTTTATTTTTAACTGTAGAAGCTGTTAAATATATTCAGCCAACACAGACTTGTCGCTGCTGTAGTTTTGTCACTCTGAATTTTCTCTGCATCACTTAAAGCACAAGTCTATTTTTGACATCGGTTTGTCAGATAGTTCTTTCCGCCCAGTGCTACAGTTATCACTGTCAATCATAGCAATGACTGACGGAACAATTTAGCGGATTCACTCGCGTAATTTTTTACATTCGCATTTGTCACTCCTGAAACAGCAAAGGTGGATGTTCGGTCCTCTTAGACAAACAAAACTTTTCTTCAAATTGTCAATGGATTATGTAGAGAAACCGATTGCCGTTTATGACCTTACTCCGATAACAGAAAACGGGTTACCGCATTTACATGACCATGTGCGTTTTCAGTTTATTAAGCATAATCTGCTTATGAACGTGCATGTAAACGCGCTCATTGCTTTCAACAGAGATGCCTGTGATTGGCTACAATACTCAACCCCGCAAAAAACATGTTGTAAATAAACTTGTGCATGCAAAAACACACAGGAGCGTTTAAAAGCAGTTGACTAAAGCAGCTACAGAATTGAATTGGTACTAATGGTACTGTAAGAAGACCAAATACACCAAATACACCCCCCCAACCAAATACACGTTCTCATCGGATCTACACAAATCTCGTAAGTGACCTATTTTGATCTCAAAAAGATGAGTTTTCACCAAAAGGTGAGGAGTTTGTATCTATGAGCATGTTTACTGTCAAATACTGTCAGCATTTGCAACCAATTTGACTCCTGTAAGGAGACATATTTAGAAAAGAAATATAATTTACGGGACTTGCATTTATCCTTCGGCAATTGATTGATAAATCACATACAATACCAGGAACAATGCAAAGACCCTAAATATGGTGCATTTTGATTTCATTTTGACTTTAAGGTGAGATTGAGATTTATCATGCACCAACACCAATATCAATGACACCCTGTGAGCGCAGCTGCGAGTGTGTTTTACCTCCAGGCGGCTGGTTGTACAGCTGCGCCACCGGTCCACCGGCTGGTATGTGTGGTAGAGGGTGGTGAAAGACACTTTTAATAGTAGGCAGTGGTAGGCGGTTCTTTGGAAAGCACTTCCTCATAATTAGGCTGGAGGTATTGACCAGAGGATCCAGTGTCCGGACAGACAGGCACTCCTGAAACACATCACAGTTATATATCTTCATACTGTAGTGAAGCTGTCTGGCATGTTCCAATGGAAGTACCAATAAAATGAAACTTTATCCAACACTTTCATACAGTGGATGTGTTATAAAGGATCCTCATCCCATTGGCGTCTATGAAGGCCTTCCTGCCAAGCTTAATGTTAGTGAGGTTTTTGATGCATCCCAGAATGCTCTTGCGGATGACCACATGGCGGTGGCGTGTGTCATTGCGGTGCCAATCTTGGTAGATTGCGAGTAGCGTGGGAAGATATCCTGTGTCCACTGCCCGACGGGCATTCATTCCTGAAGAGCACATGCACAAAAAACCTGTTATAGACATCATTAACAGCACTGCAATAAAATGTTTTGTGCTGGATATGGATATATATATATATATATATA